CCGAAAAGCGCACAACTTGTGATACTCAAAACACTCGTAGACGAAAATGTTTTTGAAACCACGCGTAATCCGCCCGAAATATCTCTTCGACACTGGTTAAGATCGTCGGAAGGTCAACAAATAATGCGAAAGGATTAGGGGCCATTAGGACAAAATACATGGACGCTTTCCTCGGTGCTAATGAGAAGAAAGAAATTGATAATGTATACGGAGTTTATTTCGACGAGAATGAAATGCGCATTGGAAACAAGCGATTCGCGATTGACAAAGATGACAATATAATCATAGGCAACACGCGATACATTGGAACGCCCGGATTGTATGAGTTGATCTTCAAGAAAAGACCTGATTACCAGGAGAATGATTTGTAATAATACAAGCACATATTATTGGCGACAAACGCGCATAAACGCAATTTTGATGCGCAAGGCCGTAAGAAGAGTAGCAAGGGGGACAAGTACAAATATATAATTTAGCGGTTAACGCGGGTGGAATCGGAGAGCCCAAAATCTGGCTTGGGAATACCTTGCGCTATGACGCTAACCGACAATAAGATTGATTACGTGCACTGGGACGACCTCAACAAGCTAGTGGATCGCCTACGATTGCTCGACGCTTCGCGCCAAGCCGGCAACAACGTGCACGACAACGAGATCCTGTCGATCATCGAACTGCGGGAAGCAGGAATTATTATAAATTGAACGGGGTCTCAATAATCTATTTAGTCCATCGCGTGACACTTTACCAAGCATTGCAAAAAATGTCTATCAATAAATTTGAATTATTCAAGAGGAGAATTGATACAACCGGTGATCATTGGTATACATTAATGAGAAGATGTGTGCGTAAAAACGCTCTATGTCGCGTCGCTACAGATTATGACGCGAGATCGCGCAAGATTCGCTGTGTAGCGCTATCTGAGGCGGATACCGATGCCGTCAACAAATTGTACCTGGAAGAATGCTTTAAAACATTGATGATCCAACAGAAAGAGTTAGATGAGAAGCTTGCTGCGTTAGAGAAAGATGTACGAGTGTTGGAAACTGCGATAAAAGAGCTTCTGCGTGCACGAAACACTACCTCAGAAATATCTTTCAAATAGAAACGTCTGTCATACAACCGGTTAGAAGGAATAGTTGCAAACGAGCAGCTACAAAGGATTATCAGCGTACTACTAATCTACAATGAGCAACGAGAGTTTAGTGACCGCCGAACTCTGCAGTAACAAGTCTAGCAGTAAACGGCTTGTCGGCTGCTGCAAACGAGGCTACGAACGGGTCAGAAGCGGCTGCGAACAAGGCTACGAACAAGTACTTAAAGGCTATGATCGCTTTAGGTACGGCTGCGAACGGGTCAGAAGCGACTGCAAAAAAGCTTGCGATTGAGTCAGGAACAATTTTCAAAACTGTCAAGGACGTGAGTGAACGGCCAGCTAACGCGAAAGAACGAACCCGAAAGAACCCGAAAGAACGAGGCACGCGAAAGAATCCGAAAGAACGAGGCACGAACGCGAAAGAACGAGAATGAATAGTGAAAATAACAACGAGCAACATAGTTTAGAGAGATGGCAGTTGGTAAACGAGTTGCATGCGTCAGCGAGAAAAAATTTCCCTCGAAGACACGTCATAGTACGAAGATACGATGATCTGTGGCAAGCCGACATTGTCGAGATGCGTCCGTACTCCCGTTTCAACAGAGGTTACCACTACATACTCACCGTCATTGATGTGTTAAGCAAGTATGCGTGGGCTGTACCACTCAAGAGTAAAGGAGGAAGCGAGACAGCTGACGCAATCGCCGAGATAATTCGAGATAGCAAGAGATGCCCGAAAAACATGCAAACTGATAACGGAAAGGAATTTTACAACGCCGATGTGCAACGACTTATGCGAAAACATGACATTAATCACTATTCGACATATTCGGTATTGAAGGCGTCGGTCGTCGAGCGATTCAATCGTACGCTAAAGAACGACATGTGGAAGATGTTTACGCTAAATGGCACTTACAAGTGGTTCGACCTGCTGCCACGCCTCGTATCAGATTACGACGGACGCAAGCATCGAACGATTGGTATGCGACCCGCCGACGTTACCCCCGCGATCGCCGAAAGACTCTTGGCTACCGTGTACAATCGTGTAAAAATCGCGAGCCCGGCAAAGTTCAAAGTAGGTGATCAGGTACGCGTCAGCAAGTACAAACAACTTTTCGAGAAGGGATACACGCCAAATTGGACAACCGAGGTGTTTAAGATTGTTAAAGTGCAGCATACTAATTTCGTAACATATCTACTCGAGGATTATCGCAAGACATCTATCGCTGGAGCGTTTTACGAGTACGAGCTGCATCGCGCAAATTATCCGGATGTGTACCTCGTGGAGAAAATACTGCGCAGGAGGGGTGACGAGGTTTATGTGAAATGGTTGGTATTCGACAGTTCGCACAACTCTTGGATACATAAAAACAATTTTATTTAATGTGCGTCATATTTTATTCAATCATTTTATTTTATAACATAATATATATTGTATACCATATATGAAATATATAACAAAAAATATATATAATTCTTATTAATACATTCTTACAATATAATATAAATATAATAAATATAATAAATATATAATTTATTTACAACGGTATTCGATAATGTCCCCACGGCAAGGTGTCGGTTGAATGAGGTACGACATACCGCTTGTCGTCGTAGAGACTTAAAGCAATTTTTGTCTTGCTGATGATATACACTTTATGCAATTTTGATCTTATACATGACTGTTGACGCGTCATTTCAATTTCTTCATTAAGGCAACGCGTATAATCGTCGAATGTTATACTACGTGCTACGACGTTACTTTTGACACTTTTTGCCTTTTTAGTGTCCTTTTTACCGTCCACCCGCAAAGCATACATTTTTGCTTTAAGCTCGACGAATTCGGTCATTATCGCACCGTTATTCTCATCTTTCATTAGACCCGGCACCTTTTTATTCGCGAGCGGTATACCGTACGCATTATTTGCGGCGTAATCGCTGGTATCGGATCGAGCGATATTGCGTTTCAAATTTTCATAGACATCCTGACATTTAATTTGATATATTAAACTGTCCGTGTCGGTGTACATTACTCTACAATTGTCACGATAGAGCGGTGACATGTATTCATGGTGAAATTCATAAAAACATACTTTTGATATGTCGAGTATGCACATGCCGACGTAGATTGGTTTGTAGAATTTGACTTCAAGTTTGCGTAATTCTATGGCAACTAATTTTTCCGAAAATATGCTTGTACTATGAAAATTTGGTTTCGCGATCATTGCCTCCGCACCGTATCGTCCGTCCCATTTTGTTAATAATTTTACATCCACATGATTGCGCACATTTTCCATCGTCTTACCGAATACCGCATTATTCATCAATTCATATAAATTTTTTTCAAAATCGTTTTTCGCTTGTGTTCTAAACTGCGTGTTGAATTTGATGTATTTTTGAAGCCACGCTGACTGCGTGAATTGTAGTATGCGGTATATTTTTGTTATGCGTAGCCCGTGACGCGTGCACTGCTGCAGATTACGATAGTGTATTACGTAGCGCTTCTTATCGTAAAACGTTGCGAGGAGTTTATACTCCCGCTTGCCGGGCCGCTTATCGCGCGTCGGGCAAAACGGTAGGTCAATGTGTGCGTCATAAAGATGCTGCGGATACTCTAAATCTACTTCGAGAACATAGCCTATAAGCGAATCGAACGCGATAGATGATATATCAAAATTCGATACATCGTCGACCCACTGAAAATCGGCATACGGCAATGGTTGACACATTGCCCATCCGTACAAATTATTTACATCAAAATATATGAGGTAAGATGAGGATTTCGATGGGTCGTACGATTGCATGTACTTGTTATTAGCCTGTGCGTATCGACTTGAACATTGACTAAGGCCGCCGCGTATACCTCGTTCGACAAACATTACCATGTCAATGTCTGTTAATAATTCAAATTTTATATTTGTATGTTTTAACATGGCGTCCCATGTATATCCGGGGAGAGTATAATAATACGCGGGATCGAGTCCATAACTTTTAATACAACTGTCGCGAAAATTTTCAAATATATCGGCCAATAACAAGACATCAATTTTTAAATATAAATCAATATATTCGCCTAGAGTTCGAAGGGAGAATCGGCTCCAGACGGTCTTAGCGTGCGCGTAATCACTCTCGGATACTGTGTCGCCGGTCAGAGAGCTGTAAAATGAGTCGCGCGGCGGTAAACATGTGTCTTGTAATCTGCCCACGCAGTCTATGTATTCATACGGAAAGACGCCCTTCCGTGTCAATAAATTAAACGTATTTGTCGATAAATTTTGATATTTCGAATGTAAAATTTTTAGTTTATTTTTATCCAAAAATGACGCTAATTTGTCAAGACTAGCACTGAGAAATTTATACAAATCGATGAAGCGTAATTTAATATAATTTTTCGAATTATTGTCTTGCGTCAATCTAACAGTTTTCGAGAATGATATATATTTTTCCTTTGTAATCGGCAGTAATTCGATTTCCTTTTCAAACGCTGTGGCTATGTCCTTGATAATAAAATGTGCGTCGTAATCTGATAAATTGTGAAAGACTATAGGAATACAAAATGATTCTTTAAAATTTAAGTTACAATTTAAGTGCGCGGGGCCCCTGTACCGCCCGGTGAGGTGGCAATGATCGCGAACGCGTGTATCGTCTTCGTCAAACGGACGTTCGCATATATGACAATGCGTCGCGGTGCGAAATTTTAACCACTCGTCAAGCGTTAAATTTACCATGGGAACATTGGTTGTTAAAATATTTTTTACGCGGATTGCGTAAAAAATTTTTAAGCTGTTCGGCAAACCACGCGACGCAATCGACACTACGGCGGGAATTGTACGCGGACAACGAACTGTCGTACATAATACGCGATGCTGAATACTTGATGGTGTTGATAATTTTTGGCATCTTCGGTCTTTGCCAAAACACACTCGAGGTCGGCGTACACGATGAACGGAAGCCGCTCCTTCCTCGTGTAGTTGTCGAAGCTGAGCCACTTGTTCTTGTCGCTCGGCAACCGGATAGCGTAGTCGTTCAATTTTCCGCAGTCTATCGTATGCGTCTGTAACTGGTCCTCAAAATAGAAATAATGTAGGCATCTGTAGAAATAAAAGATTTTATTTAAAATTATTAATATAATTTAAAATTATTAATATTATTTAAGTTTAATAAATATATACTTACCGATCGCAGATAAATTTTCTACATTTGTGTTTGCTCAGTTGCAAGCTCACGAGGCGAGATTTTTTATCAAAACAAAATGCCCCACTCCGTGTTCGTCCTCCACGTACATCAGATTGACGTGTCTGTCTTTCTTTTTTTCCAAAAGACGTAGCGGGACGATGTTCTCGTTCTCGATGATGTACACGTTTACGGAGATGTTGTTTGCAAGTTCAAATTTTTTAATTTGATTCACAGTCACTGGAAACTTAATGTTTTGAACATTCAGCACTGTGGTGTAATGCGGATAGGAGGATTCCCGATTCACATATCTTTCAGCGGGGTACAGAGCGGTCACCACCGAACATGCGAATGAACATACCTTTCATGGGCCTCTTCAGTTTCGGGAACAAGAAAAAGTCACAGCGGGCCAGATCTGGGGAATACGGTGGCTGCGGCATTATTAGTGTGTTGTTAATGCGATGCTGTTTTTGGTCGAAATTAAGCAATTTTGGTACGAATTTCGCGGCGACCCGTGTCATGCCCAAATCATTGGTAAAAATCGAATGGCACGAGCCAATCGATATGTTTAGGTCCCTTACAACTTCTCTAACGGTGATTCGACGATTGACCAATACTATTTTCTTCACTTCATCAATGTTTTCGTCTGTTGTTGACGTGTTCGGGCGTCCGGCACGCTCTTCGTCGTTCACATCTTCTCGGCCCTCGGAAAACATTTTGTACCACCGATAAACGTTGTTTCGGTCCAAGGTAGCTTCACCATATGCCACAGTCAACATTCGGAATGCGTCCGCGCATTTAATTTTGTTTTTCACACAAAATTTGATACAGATTCTTTGATCCATTTTTTGGAATAGGCAAAAATCTAAGACGAGCCAAAACACGTGCAAGCAAAGCAGCTGTCAAAAATTAACTGAACATTCAAAATGGCCGTACTTGTCGGCATAAATGAGAAACATGAGTACCAACATAACGCCACAAAAAAATCGAAAATCGAATATACGTAACCCGCGGAAATTCAAAATTCGCGATACTTTTTGAACACACCTCGTATATTGTGTTTTTAAAATTAAGGAGCCGACTTAGTATTCTTATTATAAAAATTAATAATATGTTTATAATTTATAAAAAAACAGTAATGGTATTCAGAAATTAAAAAATTTAACTTAGAAAATAAGTTAATAAGTTTAAGGTCAAAAATTATTTAAAGTTAAAAATTGATACATTTTAAATCAACTAAGCTAAGTTAAAAATTATTAATTTTTAACTTTTAACTAATTAACTAATTATTATCCAACCCTGGTTTCAGTATTTATACATCTTGTGTATGTGTATAGTTCTGTATATATACATGTTAATGTATATGCAAACGAAAGAAGCAGTTTTAAAATTCATTATATATCATTAAATTGATATATGTTTATACATGAATATTGATAAAATCTATATTTATATAATATATACTCATTGTCAGAATAATCTCAAACAATCTATAAAAGTTTTTACACTCGATAAATGATGATATCTAATAATAGCTCAATGTTATCTTAAAAACAATTATGTGTATTACCTTTTTTACAGCAGTTGACTCCTCTTATGATATTGCCAATAATATTATTGAAGTAAGCTCTTCAGAAAATGTTTCTAGATAGAATATTTTACTAGATATTTCAGAGTTTATATAAAATTAATATTGAAATAAACTAGAAAATATCTCGTAAATTATTCATTTTTTGATTATCCTATTCTTTTAATTTTTAATTTTTAATGCAGGTTATTGTTAGGAATCGATTTAAAAAAACATATAAAAAATATTGTAGTTCTATTTTAAAAATACAAGATTATTTTATTTGGCCTTGGCTATACCACCTAAAGTCCAAATAATAAGATCAATAAATAAATATTTTTAACTATAATTTTTATCTAAATTTTTTTCTATACAACTTATATTTGTCGAGATGTTCCGAGGTTTCGATATTTGTGGAACACTTTGTATGTATATACATACATATACATATATACACATATAGTGAAATGAATAATGATTGCATGCAACTGCTACTTACAACTACATATTCAATATTGCAGTGTTGCTTATTATGGTGATGGTCCTTTCTTTAACTTTTTAGAGGAAGACTATAGATACATATATACAGAGGTACGAGTGTAAAAACTTTGATAGATTATTTGTGAGATTATTCCGAGTATATATTATTTAAATATAGATCCTATTTTTAAAATGTAGTATAGAAGTTTGTAACGGCGCAGCCGTTACTAACGCCTCGCGGGCCGATCAGCCGCCCGCCACGTGAGGCTTTGGCGCCTAAAGGCGCCCCTAATCGTTCCACAGGGGCCGCCCCCACCCCGGGGGCGCCCCACCGCGATCCCGGCGCGGTACCCCCGCCACGGACTCGACGCGGAGTAGGGGACCGCCGGACGGGTATATAAGCCGGCTCGGCGGACGAGCCGGCACCAGTCCCGTTCCAAATCTCCCAGACCAGGCAACGGGCTTCTCGTTGTGAAAGTGCCGGGTTTCTCGGTCGCTGGTTCCTACCGTTAGTATCGGGCAACGGGTTTCTCGTTGTAACACCGGGTTTCCCGGTTTCCGGTCTCCTCCTGTAATACGCCGGGCGACGGGCTTCTCGTCGTTACACTGGGTTTCCCAGTTTCCGGTCCATCCTGCTATCCGCCGGGCGACGGGTTTCTCGTCGTTACACTGGGTTTCCCGGTTTCCGGTTCATCCTGCTAACATCCGGGCGACGGGCTTCTCGTCGTTATACTGGGTTTCCCGGTTTCCGGACATCCTTATAAGGCTATATGCCGCCGTACGTTGGCTTCACCGCTCTCCGTTTGGAATAAAGGCGTTACGCCCCGTACCTAGTATCTCCAGCATCGTATACCGGGTAAATTGTAAGTCCCATCAGGACACCGCTATAGGCTATGCGCCTCCACCTGTTGTATCTCCAGCATCGTATACCGGGTAATTCGTAAGTCCCATCAGGACACCGCTATAGGCTATGCGCCTCCGCCTGTTGTATCTCCAGTATCGTATACCGGGTAGCTCTTAAGTTCTTTGTTCAGGCTTTACGCCACCGGACGCTCCGTTCGAGCCTCACGCTTTGTACATATACCGGGTAGCTCTTAAGTTCTTTGTTCAGGCTTTACGCCACCGGACGCTCCGTTCGATCCTCACGCTTTGTACATATACCGGGTAGCTCTTAAGTTCTTTGTTCAGGCTTTACGCCACCGGACGCTCCGTGCGATCACCGTTCACTACGTATACCAGCGATCCGCTAAACCCGTAGGATGACCTGTACCCTGCTATTAAACATTCTTTTCGTTGTTCTTTTTATTTGAATAAACCCACTATTTTTATATTAAGGAATAAGCGAGTCTGACTTTCCCCCTTCCTCCCGAATCCTGGAACCGGCGAGCCGATCCGCGGCGTCGGGAAAGGTGAACCGTCACAAGTTTTAAAATTTTGCTATTCTTATAGTAAGGTTACGTGATTCGTAGAAAATAACTTTGAGAAATCAAAATTAAAAACATCATTTATTTAAAGAAACATCATTTATTTAAAGATTAATTTGATAAATAAATATTCAAAATGTGCTCCCTGAGCTTGAATGTAGGCACTGCAAAGAAGAATCAAGGAATCGTACATAGATACATTACATTAGTCATGCGAATTTTATTTGCATTGATAATCCTTTAAGGCATGACTTACTACTGATACTTTTTTTACAGCCTCTGTTTTTATAGCTTGTTTTTCAATAAAGTAAAGTTAAGCTTTCAAACTTGGATATTGGTTTGCTGTTAATCATTCATATAGATTATATGATAAGTTTTCCTAATTATTATACGTCATATGCAGTTTTTCGAGAATAATATTTATTATATTATATTTAATAATTAAAGATTTAATGATTAAAAATAAATAAATAATTATGTGTATTTTAATTAGAAAATAATCATTAAAATTATTGCAATAACGATGATATATGTATGTAAGAGAGAGATATATAACAATATAATGCTCTACAATTTCTTTCTAAAATATTTTTAATTGAGTTTTACACTTTATTTTGCAAGATTACCATAATTATCCTATAATTTTTGGAAATTATAATAATAGACTTAATTAGATATAATTAATGTTTATTTGATTTTATTTTAGATTTTATAATTATTCACTATTATTATTTATATTGTTATTGCAAAATGCTACATTATTATGAGAATACATATATTCTCATTTTATTGTTTCTTTTTTCAGCCAGAGATAATAAAAAAAGCAGGTTATCTCACGGAAACTCACGTTGTAACAACGGAAGATGGCTATATTTTGACATTACATCGTATCCCAGGTGGCAACGGCTCTCTACCTGTATTACTGGTACATGGTGCTATTAACGATGACATTATTTGGATCGTTCTTGGTAAAGGCAAAGCACTCGGTACGGCTTTTAAATCAATCATTGAAAGATATACCAGCACTGTCGAGCAGATCACATCGTTAATCTTATTTTTAATAAAAAATATCTAAGAGAAAAATATTGAAATTAAAGGGCAAATATTAAAATTAAAGAAACAAAAAAATTTTATGCACTTTTAATTACGATACATTTTTAGTTTATCTTACTTTTTGAAATTTGTTTACATTTAAAAGTTGAATTTCTAAAATTTGTTATATGACAGGTGTATATATTTTTATATATTTTGTATATTTACAAATTTTACATATATGATTATAATAATAAGAATATTTTTAAGTTAGCTCCTTAATTTTTAAAAACCCAATCTACACTTTATTCCTCTCGACCAATAGAGCCAAACGCGATGTTATTGCGACAATTAAGAAAGAAAGAAATTTGGAAACTAAGGAATTAGCTAAGAAGCGGAAGGTTCGATTCCCGATTCAGCCGACTTTCGGACCAATATTTTTCTCGCCTATTTCTTTACAGGGGATGTTAAGAGAAGGAACAAGGGGAATTTCTGAGATCCGAACCATAGGATTCAAATTCCTTAGTTTCCAAATTTTCTTTCTTTCTTAATTGTCGCAATAACATCGCGTTTGGCTCTATTGGTTGAGAGGAATAAAGTATATATGATTATATTTAGGTAATGAGTGAATTATAAATCAGATTACAGTTTTAATCTTGTTATAATAATATTTCTATGTAAAAAATAATAAAAATATAGAATATGCAAAAAACGATACAAATAAAATATTGCAAATGTTTTTTTATATTGTGTTTTAGCTTATCTATTAGCGGATCAGGGATATGATGTTTGGTTGGCTAATTTGCGTGGTACTACTTATTCGAGAAAGCACATTTCCCTATCACCATCAGAATTGAAATATTGGAATTTTAGGTATGCTCGTAAAATAAAAATAATTTTTTAAAAATAGATAGTTTTTTCTTTGGTGAAGTTTTCGTAAATGCTAATTTATTATTATTGCAAAAAAATTATATTTTTTCGTAAATACATCTCATATTTATATTTCAATATACTAATACAGTACTTTCTTGTTCTTTTATTGCTTTCTCATAGAGGAAGCTTTGTTTGGTGAAAAATTTTTTTTCAGATTTTTATACCAATGTGTTTAGAATGTTCAAAACATCGAAAAATCACATTTTAAAAAATTGGATATGTATGTACGGATGTATGTGCTGCAACGTCGTTTCCTGCTCCGAAACGCCAAATTCGGAGAGGGGAGCGTGCAATTTATATAACTAATCGTAGGTAGCAATAGCAGGCGGTACCGGCGTAATTAATTACGCTTAGTTCGGTAGCAACGATAACCGAGACTAAGTTGGGCGCCAGGCGCATCTTAATGCGCCGCGGTAGGCATGAAAACGGTACCTTAAGGGGATGCCGGAGCGTTGGCCGAACTCCGACGGGTTAGCGCCCTCATCTAAGCGGAACTAAAATTGTCGATAATTACCGACAATTTTAATTTTGCTATTATCGGCAGTTTCCATATATTAAAAATTTACATGCATGTAAAAAAAAAACAATTTTATTGTGTTCAACATATTATATTTTTTTAGACAACATAATATATTTTTACTGTTGAATTATCTCGCACACGCGTTTTTATCTAAGCGTGTCAATGACAGTAAAACATACATACATAATTGTGTCTATCTTTATCACATAGTTTGAACACTATATATATATATATATATATATATATATATATTTGTTTTTTTGCTTATATATTTACATGCAATTCTATATATATAATATATGTATATATCATTCACATGTGTATGTATGAATATAATTACTTATCATTTACATGTGTGTGTATGAATATATTTACTTCACATGTGTGTGTTTAAATATATTTACTGAGTGTTCTAAATAAAACGTTACAATTTTGTATTTCTAAAAGTATAATTTTTAGAAAATAATGCTGCAAATAAAAGTTCCAGTATTTCAACAGAGATATACATACTTTGATGTTACAGAAATGTTTGTAGAAGGCAATTTTTAATATCATTAGTCAACTTGATTATTTAATATTGATTAGTCTAATAATAAGTATTTATGCATGTAAATTGATTCCTTGTAACATATTTTGCATACAGGGTAAAAGTCAATAATTGAACGGTTTACGAGATATTTTACATAATTTAACATTATATATACGAGGGTCACTATTTATATTTCGGGAATTGGCAACACTGATGTCATGTGAGTCCATCTGACGGTTCCATCGTAAAGTTTGACATTTTTGACGATATACGTACTCAGAACATTTTGTCATACGGACGCTATTTGTTTATTTTATATTTAGTTGAAAGTTTCGTCTCGGCAAAAAATGGAACTGAATCGTGAACATTTTCGTGCGATGATTTTTTACGACTTTCGACGTGGATTATCACAACAAGAGTGCGTCAATCAACTTAATTTGACTTTTGGCGATGAAGCTCCATCAAAAACCACTGTGTATCGCTGGTATAGTGAATTCAATCGTGGTTGTAATTCGCTGTCCGACGAGTTTCGTGAAGGTCGTCCAAAATTGACTGTAGTGCCAGAAAACATCGATGCTGTGCACGAAATGATTAAGCAAGATCATCATGTAACCTATTGTGAGATTGAGGCATCCCTAAGCATTAGTTCCACCAGCATATATGCGATTTTACATGAACACTTAGCTGTGCGAAAGTTATGTTCGCGTTGGATCCCACAAAATTTGACAATCGCTCAAAAAAAGGCTCGTGTTGATTGGTGCAAAGAAATGCTTAAGAAATACAATCGCGGTGCTTCAAAAGACGTTTATAAAATCGTGACAGGTGACGAATCATGGATATATTCGTATGAGCCCGAAAGTAAGCAGCAGTCGACTGTATGGGTGTTCCAAGATGAACCAAATCCAACAAAAGTTGTTCGCGCACGAAGCACTTCAAAGAAAATGGTGGCCTGTTTCTTCGGAAAAACTGGTCATATTGCAACAGTACCTCTAGAGGATCGTAGAACAGTAAATTCTGAGTGGTACACAACCATCTGTTTGCCAGAAATCTTCGGTGAAATAAGGAAAACAAACAAGAGACGTCGGATTGTTCTTCATCATGACAATGCGAGCTCTCACACATCGGCTCAAACAAGAGACTATTTGAGCACTCAAAACATCGAATTGATGGGTCATCCGCCGTACAGCCCTGATTTGGCACCCAATGATTTCTTTTTGTTCCCATCCGTGAAGAATAAACTGCGTGGTCAACGATTTTCATCGCCCGAAGAAGCTATTGAAGCGTTCAAAAATCATGTTTTGGAGATACCTCATTCGGAATGGAATAAATGCTTTGAAAATTGGTTTAAGCGCATGCAAAAGTGTATCGATCATCGTGGCGAGTACTTTGAAAAACAATAAAAATATATTCGCAGCTTAACTATTTGTTTTTGTTCCTATTCTCGAAATATAAATAGTGACCCTCGTATATATATATATATATATATATATATATATATATATAGGAAGAATAGAGATGTAATAAATATGCACCGGGTGTTTCAATAAGCGTTACAAATTTTTATCGCTAAAAATGTTTGTTGAACAAAATGTTTCAAATAAAAATTTTAGTATCTCAAAGGAAGCATAGTTGATGTCATAGAAATGTTTGTAAGAGGCAATTTTCAAGCTTATTTATAGTCAATTTAATTATTTTATATAGAATTATTCTAAGCGTTTATGTAAATAGATTTTTTGTAATATTCTGCATAAAAATATAAGGAAATGTAGCTAAGAATTGAACAGATTCCGAGATATTTTACATAATCTGACATAATTTTGATATAAAATACAAAATATCACGTAAAATATTTAGTTTTCAATGGTCTTGTTTTTATGTATAGAATAATTAGACAAAACAATTGGTATAAACAACAATGTTGTTTTTACAAAAAAATATATATAGCTGCATGTAGCAAATTGTATATTTTTTTTGCTGTGTATCTTTTTTTATTTGTCTATAATTATTCTGTACATAAAAGTATTATCAAACACTAACTATTTTATTTACGAAATATTTTTTATTTTTTATATCAAAATATGTTAGATTATGTAAAATATCTCATAAACCGTTTAATTATTGACTTTTACCCTGTATGCAGAATATGTTACAAGGAATAAATTTACATAAATACTTAGACTAATCAATATAAAATGATCAAGTTGACTAATGATATTGAAAATTGCCTTTTACAAACATTTCTGTAACATCAAAATATGTATATCTCCGTTGAAATACTGGAACTTTTATTTGCAGCATTATTTTCTAAAAATTATACTTTTAGAAATAAAAAATTGTAACGTTTTATTTATAGACCAGTGCAATTAGGTGTTAAAGAGACCAAAAACGGAAAAAATTAATAGCAGGACGGTTCTTGGTGGAATTGGTAGATAATTTTGCACTGATTACGGGGAAAAAAATGCAATTTGATCAGATGTATTTTAGGGTATTCTGGGGTGACTTTTAGAGGTGGCAAGCGGTTTTTTGTGATTTCCGCCAAAAGTTGACCTCGGATCAAAAAATGTTCTAAGAAAAAGTTGTAGATATATTAAAACGATCTAAAACTTTTATATACATAATTTTTCATATAACCTCAAAATTTTCGAGAAAAATTTAAAAAACTGTGTTTTTCGTATTTATTTTTTTTCTCGGACAAAAAAAATTTTTTTTCACCAAATTTGGTGGAAACTTACCTTTTTATGACCCAAATAAGCTGTAATTTTTTGGAATAAAAATATTTATGTTTTAAAGTTTTGTTGACGTAAAACCGAAAAATTACCCCTAACTTCAATCAAAAAATCTCGTGTTAAAATTTTAGATTTTAGATTTTTTCAGGGGGGGATTTTATTCGTTGAAATGTCTATTTTCAGATGGTTCAAAAAAATTAGACCTCACTTTGCACAAAATTGCCAAAAATTGCGAAAAACTAAAAAAACGTGTTTTCAAAAAGTAATATTTGCAGTTATTGCTTGAAATGTGATATTATTTATTAAAATTTTTAGTTGAAATGTATAAAAATGGTATCATTTAATGTTGCATTGATAAATAAAGTAATTGCAAATTGTTGAAGAATGGGATGCATAAAAAATGCCAAAATAATTTTTAAATCCATTGAATTCAAGTAAATTTCACTGTTTTAAACAAACTTAATTTTTATTCAAAGATATGAAAATGTAGATATGTAATTTATAGTAAGTTAAATCCGTCGGAATCATAATAGCGTGGTTGCCAGATTGTTGGATTATAATGTGGCAACCTCGCAGAGCAGCTTATGAACCGTTACATAGTTATAGTATTCCAGGAGCAAAGCAGTGAACAGCATCTTTTACACGTGGCTGAGTGTTTTAAGACAAAAACTTCTTCAATAACAAATAGAACGTAAAAAATTTGTTACTTTGCAATGAACTTTTGAAATCTAAATTGCAAGGTAAATTCGAAAATGTTATCTTTGATCTGCTCTAAAATAGATATATTATTATTTTTCCTATACGTGTAATAAGAGAAAAATAAAAAAAACAAGGATAAAATGATAAAAACTTTACTTGAAAAATTAACATCGGAAGGATTTTTCTGCCAACAAGCTAAAGAAGATGCTGATGCTGACATAATTAGAACCTTGATACAAGTTTCTAAGGACAATGCGAAGACCGTCGTAGTTGTGGGACAAGATATTGATCTTCTTGTTCTTCTAAATAAATTAAGTTCAAAGAATAGTACCATTTATTTTCACAAGCCAGGTTCCGGTAATGTCAAAAATTCTTTTTACACCTCAAACAGTTTCAAACACAAATCATTAACAAATCTTGTTGCATTTTTACATTGTTTTTCTGGTTGCGATACAACTTCTGCATT